GTATAGATTTCCTCAGGACGGGGAAAACATCACTCTGGCTGGCTTGACACTAGAACAGTCATTTGCAGACCAATGAAAGGTAAGAGGTGAAGTAGAGAAGAAAAAGAAAGAGAGGGAGATAACCACACCAAAAGAGAATATCGGGGTTGGATTGTAAGAGGAGCCTAGAGATAGGAAAGTTGAGATGGAGGATGGTGAATTGAAAAATGCAATTGATATTGGAGAGAATGAACAAATAAAAGAGGAGGAGCACAGGTATGCTGGTAAAAAAATTGTAGAGATGGTTCAACAGGATAATGAAAAAATTGTAAAAATGGTTCGGCAAAAGAGTGAGGAAACATAGGAGAACGTTGAGCATAATGTTGAAAATATTGTGAGAAGTGAAGAGAAACAACAGAAGGATATCATTGTTAAGCATGATATGGTGGAGGCGATACCTCATGAGTAAGAAAAACCATATTTTGTTTTTGGAGAAGCTAACAGTTTCAACCGTGTTTTGCTTAATTCTTTCTTACAGGTTGATATATGTACTTGGGAGTTCATACCGCAACAAATATGGCTGATTGAGTTCATGCTGCAATACATTCATATCTACAAAGTTGATGGGTGTCATACATTGATCCTATGTCGGGAAGGGAAAAGTTTTCTAGTTGATCCATGTGGTGCTGTGATAAAACTCGTAGTAGATTGGTTATCCCCCTACGCGATTACAAGACACGGATTTGAAGACTAATCCTTTCAAAGAGAGAGTGGATGATATGATCAAGGACAGACAATGCATAAAAGATACGGGTTTCCTTTTTCGCGAGTTTCCTTATTACATTAGAGTTTTAATTTGGATGGATATCTTATGTNGTTTTAATTTGGATGGATATATTATATAATCTTTTAGCATCAATTTCGTGTAGACTTGGGTTTTAGGTTTTTCCTATAAATATTGACATGATATCATTGTATGAACAACCTACATTATTATTATTGAGAATTAATCGTGAGGCTTTTAGCTTTCAAAACTCTTGTTTTTCATTGAGCAATTACGAACTTATCAAGAATCAATTTCTTGTAGCGTTTAAACATCCGGGTTAGATTTATAAGTTGTGTAATCAAGAGATCAACATATTGTCGGCGATTGTGTTCGTGGCTTGGTTCATTAATTTTCGATCCAATACCTCGATTTATTGGCATTCTTGGGTTGGTTTTAATCTCGTTGTGGATTGCGTAGCTATTATTGCTACGTGGTTCTCATCACAACCGATCTAGGAAAGGATCCAGGAGCAGCACCACCTGGAATGAAAGCAATAGACGTCAGAGAAGCGGTCGATCCGGTGGGAGGACGAGCCGGAGGAGACAGGAGACTCAGAAGGTGAAATTGTGGATAGGTCGGAGTCAAGATGGCGAAAGGAAATGGTGTCCGTCCAAGCGCGCTACGGCAACGTCCATAAAATTGTTCATTTTATGGAAATGGGGGTTGAAAATAATAAAAGATATATAAATAAAAGAAAAGACAAAAATAGTGAAATTATAAAGTAGAAATTTTTTAAATGTCCAATAATATGTATAAGCTCTTGCTTAATTTTTACTTCTTGTGTTCTTGATTGAATGCTAGAATTCGACTTATCAAAGGAGTGATCAATCTTTGTGGCGTCTCAAGGCTTGGGTTTTAAGGACTTTGTTTCCTTAAGGTTCTAATCTGATCTTCCTCATTTCGTCATGTTCATAGCAGCTGCTTTTTGTTCCTTTATTTTTTCTTGGATATGTCCAGAGTACTTGAATTTGTGGGTTTACAAAAGGGGGTATCTATCAATGAGTAACTTGATTTTGTTTTTCTTAGATATGTCCGGAGTACTTGTACAATTTTGATCTATAGTAACTTCTATTTATCGATAAAATAAAATAAAAAATACGACACCTAAAGTCAACCGGTCTATAGGCAGGGCAGCCGCATATCTAAAGGGCAAGAGTGCCCTCTGCGAGTGTGGCGTTAGCTGAAAAGAGTAGGCCCAGAGTTTGATGCCTTTTAACAAAAACCCGGCGGTGTCGGACTTCGAATTTACAAATCGGATTCAGTTGACAGCGACTTCTCCTGCTCATCCGAGAGACAAATCCGACATATGAGTAAATAATCGATGCAGCAGAGCCAGGTTCTTTTGTTAATATTGTGGACACGCTATTAACAAGTGGAACTATAACAACTTTTCCGAAGTTTATAATTACTGCACAATTATTACTGCAATGCATCTTTCAACTTATGTGGGCTTTTGTTTTTAAGAGATCCATTAATTTATAATCTCAAAAACTGTCAAATAGGGACCATGTTACGGATTAATCCCTTAATTCTACAATATGAAGAAAACAAGTATGAAGATATGAGAAACATATGAGTAATAGCCGATCCACCTACCTTTTGACAATGGATCCGAGTCCACACTCAGGGCAGGAGCTGATAACTTTATTATCTCATCTCGGGATCTTTTGGATATATACACGAACAAATTGACGAGTATTACCAAAGTTGGGCTATGGACAGACTTTGATATGAGTGTGAAGACGAGTCAACAAAGTACTATTTCTTTGTAGTATGAATACATATTCTTCTCTCTTGGTGGTTCGAATTAAAAAAAACAAAAGATAATAGGTAAAAATATTAGGGTTTAGAGTCGTTGTAATGTGAGAGTTAGTCAAATACTCGATTAAACAAGAACATGAATAATTCAACTTACGTCTCTCTTTTGTTCAATATAGAGAAAAAGACGTGCATATATGCACAACATAATTAAAAACAGCTATGCTTCGTTAGAATTACCTGCAGTGCTGCAGATATCATTAAATTCTTATACGTTTGGTGCAGCACGCAAGCATGTATAAATGTCCTGGTGGAAAAAAAGTGGTTCCTCCATTGAATTTACATATTCCGACAGTATCTTCTCTTGTCGTTAATATCTGGTTGACCTTTACTGTTCTTCCAATATTTCTATTTTTTTTTCTAAATTAATACATGGATGAAGTATTTATTAATATTCTGAAAAAAAGAAAGAAAAAAAAACGCAGAAGTACGAGACTTAAGTCAATAAAAGAAACATAAAGGAAAAAATTCCAGTTTAAATTCTGTGGGCCTTCATGGTGAGCTTAATCATATTCAACGTTAGCATCACAGAAAAATTTGGTGGAAGTTCTGAAAGGAATCCAATTAAAGACTTTGTTTCAGATTCAAGTTTCGGCAAAATTTCATAGAAAAACGGAGGTTTCTTGTATAGTTTGAGGGTGTACAAGTATTGACACGTGCGCATGCATGCGCAGACACATGAAAAAATAACGTATATTTGGTTGTTTTATTTTTCGAAGTATTTCAGAATCAAATTGGAGACAGAATCTGTGCGCCGCCGCTGTATAAATATCGTGCTCAAGTGATTTCTTGAAAATGGGAAAAAAATCTTATTGTAACCAAAAATAGCATTTCGGCTGGACTAGGAGGGTTGGATGCACGTATATAAAGTTGGATTACAAAATCGGTTGACAAAATAAAATCTACACCAATAATTTTAAAAACAGATTTTTAAATCATTTGAAATCAACGGTCTGAATTTTGTCCACACACTTTGTAACCCAACTTTTGTAACTCAACTTTGTACAAATAACTTTATTGCATATACTTTCACAAAAAAAATATTAATAATTATTTATTTCGCAAGTCAAAGTCAAATATTAATTTCAATGCATATTTATAACTATTATTCGTTTCGTGTTACCAAAATGATTCGTAACGTACAAACTCAAAAAGTAAATGAGAGAAGCAAAAATACAAATTATTTTGAGGAAACCTGGATATCTTATAATTGGTATTTCGAGAAACCAACAAAACTCTCAAATTACAAAAGATATGCTTGCAAAATAATTAATCGAAATGTTATTCATTATCGGCTTGGAGTTTAAATACAAAATAAAACTATGGACCTGTTTGAACCATATTTTTGGAGAAAAAATGTTTTTTGAAATAATAGATTGATGAAGAATGTGTGGTTAAAAAATAAGGAAAAGTTTTGGTTTTGCGTGTAATATTATTTTATTGAATAATGTGTAATTGAAAAGAAGAGAGCGAAAAATATATTTTGAGTATAATGGGATCAAACAAACTGTATTCAGAGAAAAATGCATCCTGAAATATTGATTAAAGAAATACAAAAAATATGTATATGTATAATTTTATAATTTATGAATATTTTTAGTCAATGAGTGTAACTATTAAACTTGGATGCAATGTGGCTATTAGATTAGACATTTTGAAGGCAATCAATACTATAAGATGGACTTCTTAATTCGGTTTCCAAAGGCTTTGGGAGTGTTTTTTTCGTAGTTGGATTGCTTTTATATTTACAATTATTCTACTTGTACAAATATTTTGTATAGATGGGTTGATAGATGCATGCTGGATCGCCAACCTATCTGCACAAAAATTATGTACGTGTAGCAAAATTCTGTACTAATATTTAACTCTTCATGAATATTTGTGTTGGTGAATGGATCCATGAGGGGGTTTTAGGTCTACTCACGGAGTTCGACACAGGATCCTTTAAACCAAATAGAGTGGCACTGTGGCATATAGTGAAATCATGGCAGTCCACGGCTATAGCTACTTTAGTGTTTCGGTTTCGTTAGGTTAGGTTTTATGATTTTGACAATTGTTCTTATGAATAATTGTTCAGGTGCGTAAACAGATATGAATGGTGCTACGAAGGTACTAACATAGTTGGGTTGTCCCAATACACCTACTCAATCTCGTCATTAACAGCTTTACATAAAAAGCGTAAATACGCAAGTGAGAGATTGGGTATTTAATTGCCAAGAACCAAAGGATGGACTCATTTGTACAACTTCAATAGGTTAAGTACCTTTGTTGCATTTTTTTCTTCTTGGAGTGTAAATTCTCACTATAAATACACTATCCACCCCACCCATTTTCACACAGTTGACTGCAAACAACTTTGTAACACTTTATAGTCCAAATGGAAGAAGCAATGAGGAAGCTTAATGACAATCTCAACCACTTGCCGCCCTCCTACACCGTCCCAAAGCGGTGCACCACCACTACAACCACCGGCAACAACAAGAGGTCCTTGAGAGAAGGTGCGGTCTCTAATACTGGCGGCACAATGAGGTACCGGGGCGTCAGGCGTCGCCCATGGGGACGGTATGCGGCCGAAATTAGAGACCCGCAGTCGAAAGAGAGGCGGTGGCTCGGAACTTTTGACACGGCGGAAGAGGCTGCTTGTGCCTATGACAGTGCAGCCAGAGCCATGCGGGGTGTCAAGGCCAGAACCAACTTTTCTTACCCCCCTGCTCCAGATAATCTCATCCATCCGTTTAATTTCAGTAAATCATTTCAACCCTGTATGAGGGACTTGGCTTCTCTGACCCATTCATCCACTTTTTCAAACCCTATCTTGCCTCTGTATGAACAAATTTCTTATCAAAATGCTTTCACAGACTCTTCTTTGGAGAAAAATCTATTTTGTAACAGTAACAACACCACAGTTTCTGGCAGCTTCATGGGTTCAGGTGGCACGAGTCTGCCGAAATTTAAAGATTCTCTAGCAACTCTTTCTGGGACTTCAGCTGCTAAAGCAATCAGTGCAATTGATCAAGCTGAAAAAACGGATTTATTTTCCACAGAAAGGTCTAATTCAGGTTTACTGGAAGAAGTTTTACATGGGTTTTTCCCAAAACCTAAGGCAACAAAATCTGAACCACAGGATGATGTGAAGAAGACAGTAGCAGAGAATGAGAAATTAGGGTTTGGTTTTGACAACCAAAGATTTCCTCAGCAGTTCCAGAGCTTGAATAGTACCTCGTTTGGCACTGAATCACACATTTCACTTTTGTATAATGATTTCCCTGCTTGCTTCCAGGTTTCACCAAACGAAGCACTGGGAGACATTTTTCAGTATCCAGATTCTCTAGGGTTTTTTGCTGCTAAAGTGCATAATGCCTGAACTGATGATCAAACATTGATATTGAAGAATTAATTATCTTACACAGTGTTACCGTTACTTTGGCGGATGAAAAAATGTTAAAGTACTCATGATCATTATCTTGCTTTTTAAATCTTAAAAGTGATCATATATTGTTGTTTTGAGTATAATGCAAGAACTCTATATAGCTGTATCTTTTTTTTTTTTTTAAATATCCCCGGAAGGTTTTGATCATTTTGCTTAGGCCTTTGCCTTTCGGGGCTCTTTTGAGTTGACCTTCTATTTGTTAAAAGCTGCTATCTGGCTTTTGTACATTAGAGAAAAGTAGCGATTAATAAGGATAATGCTTATAGGTAATGTAGAACTGATCTTCTGCCCCCAATGGGACAGAATACAAATTTATCATTGTTGATGTGTCAAGAGAACCATACGTAAAGTTCTCTGAACCTTATAGTATATGGAGTATTTTGTATCCAAAAGGATTTTTAGTATACATTTTGAAACTAGTTCCCAACATATATTTCACCCACGAAGAGGAAGAATTATAATGAAAAATTCAATGATTCCTCGAGCTAATAATGGTAGCATAATCTCTTCCAACTGAAAATGGACATAAGTTTTTAGATAAAGACAACAAGATATTAACATGTCAAATGCTATTACTATGTTTTTCACTTTTAATGACAACTAAAAATGAATTACTAAAGCTTTTTTCACGACCATTATAAACCATTATTTAGAGGGTGTTTGGTGGTGATTAAAATTAGATATTTAGTAAATTGTGATAAAAGTTTTTGAAATATGGTTGAAAAGTTGTGGAACCCATGAAAAATATGGTTAATATTGATTGTTTGATTTTGACTTTGATTAAAATCAGATTTTAATCCGAACCAAACAGGGAATTATATTTTATACTAGACTTACTAGTGTCAGGGTTAATTTTGATATTGGTTAAAAACTATATGCCATAAAAAAGTATATCTTTCTTAAACATTTATGGGTTGTTCTCTTTGTATTTCAGTTTTTAGTTTTTAGTTTTGAATTCATTTTGTGTTTTGTCTTTTGAGTGTTCATTTTAAAATTGTTGAAAATGCGTTCCTTTTGTCATTTTAGAAAATTATTTTCAAAAATAAAAAAACGAAGTTTTGGCTTGGTTTTAACTGAAAATAGCCAAAACGATTTTTTTTTTTTTTTTGCATTTTTCGTTTTCTTCGTAAATTTTAAACTCGTTTTTTGAAATTCGTTTCTGAAAATAGGTAACAAAACGTGTTTTCAATATTTTCGAAATTTTTTTTTTTTTTTGCATTTTTCGTTTTCTTTGTAAATTTTAAACTCGTTTTTAGAAATTCGTTTCTGAAAATAGGTAAGAAAACGTGTTTTCAATATTTTCGAAAATTGAAAATGACCAAAAAACATAAAAAAGAACATGCCCTTAGCCTACATTTTTTCAAAACAATGCAATTTAGAACCATAATTTAGGGTGATACTTATATTGAAAATCTTCAAGAACTTAAAAAATTAAGAGGGATGGACCATTATGATTTAATTAGTTTTATTAAATAGACTTGCAAGTGGTTTCACGGTTAAGTTGCAAAAATTGATTAATTTGATGCTTATTAGTCATGCCAACTTGTCTAACAAAGGGAGACAAGTGATGTTTGTTTAGCAAAATTTTGAATTGAATATCAAATTAGAAAAAAGATTACTATACGACAAGAACTTATAATTTCAATCCTACTAATAAATCTAACTGCACAAGTTCTCTAATTTTACGTTTCGACTTCAACTCTCGCTGTTACCCATTATTTGAAATTTTGTAAGTATACTTTTTGGATAAAATTGTGATTCAATAAGAATGAAAAACAAATTAATTTTCAATTTCGATTCCAAAATTAGAAAATACTTGGAAAAATTAATTTAGGACCGTGCTACTCTACCAGATTGGTACAAAATCTGGTAGAGCCAATGAGTCATGGGGGGTGGGTGATAAAACATTTGGGGGGATTTTTTTAATGAGAACCCACCTCATGTGAGGCAACCACTCTACCAGGCCTTTTACAGGCCTGGTAGAGTAGTTTAATTCAACAATTTAATATACGTTGCATAGTTCGAGGTGAGCTTATATATATTTGATGGTGATGGTGATATAAATCAAGCCTTCTTGGGGTTTTCCATGTAAATCTTGTGTGTCGAAGCCTTTCAAGACGTGGATGAACCAGACGACCCGAAAGCAATTATATATGATGTCCGTGACATATTAAGGGAGGACAGAGGGTGATAAACCTTGCACCAACGTAGACATGAATGATCTTTATATTGGGTGTAAACTGCCAACCACCATAATTATCGCTTTGTAAAATATGCTTTAATAACACACGTTCTGAGAATTGAACATATAGTTCTTGTTTGCTGATAAATATGCATAATAATTATAGAAGACAGATAGTTGTCTACCAGTTCTGCTACCCTTTTTAAATTGGGGCAGTACAGTGGTGCTATTGCCTTAAAAGTTTCAACTTAATGCAGAGATTCCATAATTATGGAGCCCCTAGGGGGTGAAGTTATGACGGGTGGGGGTGGGGCCAGACTCAAAATCTTTCACTACTTTCAATGTGAAGAGTACCCAAAAAACTCATAAGGCCTCTACATCAAGGAAAATCCTGCTCTACGTGAGAAAAAAGAGATTAGCACTTTTGCGTAACCTCTGTTTTAATTGGATCAATCACGCTAGTAGAAAGGAATTGATCCCAAACCATAGTCTTAAAGTGAATATAGTACTAAGCAATAATCACATCTCTTAAGATCTGTGACTTCTAATTCAAGCTGTATTATCTAAATCATGTAATGTGACAAATTACGAAAATATTACAAAATTGAAGTTGGCACGACGTAGTCGACTTATCTGTAAGCCAATTGGCATAAGAAAGATTCGATAATAGGTAAGATAATTAATAATTACTGATTAGGCACCGATTTGAGATTATAATAAGTTAGGGACTTCAAATCTTATTTTTGAATGTTAGGGAGTACCTAAAACTACGTTACCTGAAAGTTAGGTAGCTCAATCTTTAATATTTATGCTAAATATCCAACTTGCAAGAACATTTAAGACGAAAGGTGGTCCATACGTCCCAATTAAGAAGAAATTATAGTCCATTTAGGTGGCCAACTTTTTCCCCTAGTGCAGCAAACTGGATTTTGGACCACAGGACTAATGGGCTAATTATCCAGTTCAATACAAGTAATAACCAAGTACAACGTGAGGAAATTAGGTTCATTACTCTAAAAAAAAGGAACAAATTAGGAGTAATAGACTTCAAACAATTTAAAACCTCTAATAACCATAAGTTATTGGGAAGAGTTCAAAAGTCAGGGATTAATTATACACAATTCAAAAATCAAGTTTTAAGTTTGACTAATGCAAAAATCAGGTTTTAGTTAATCAATTAAAAATATTTATTAATTAAATATAATAAAATCACAGTTATATAATTAATGGTCGCATATACATAATTATAAGTCATAGGTCACATATTTTAAAATTAATTGATCACAGATTATTTCGAGGTCACATATCAAAAAATTTTGTACGTCACAGATAATTAATGGTCACGGATACATAATTATAAGTCACATTTTATTTCATTGGTCATATATCAAAAATTTCATAGGTCACATTTTATTTCGTTGGTCACATATAAAAAATTTTATAGTTCAGAGTTTATTTCGTTGGTTACAGATAAAAAAAATTTATAGGTCACGGTTATTACATTGATCACAGATCAAAGTCACAAATTATTTTTTTAATCACAAATGATCGGATATTAAGGTCACAGGTTAGTCTGGTTGGTCACATACACCAAACATCCAACCACCGATCTCGATCCACCAACAATACTTGGTCACAAATTGATCAAATAATTAATCACAAATAGTCTTCATCTCATCTCGTAGTCCCCGTTGCCTCCGCCACCGTCACATTCACTGCCACAATAACAACACAACACCACTATCACCACCAACAACCAGATCTGAACCTACCAAATATTGGTCACATACACCAAACACCCAACCTTGACCCCGATTCACCAACAACACCATCACAACACCACAACCATACACAAAAATATTGTCAAACCCACCCACCGCCAGAGCCACTGCACACTAGCAGAGCCGCCACCACTGCCGTCGCCGCACCCACAACACACACACACTTACCACCACCGCATCCAGCCACCCCTACCCTCTCACAGCATCGATCCCAATCCAAGCACCACCAACTCGTTGCACAACCATCGATCGCAAAAGCAACTCCAATCATCGTGCATCTTGTTGACGGCGTCGTCTTCTTGCAGCGACGCAGTATCGCATCGGAATCGGCTCCAGATTTCAAAGCGTCGCCTCTACATTGGCGACGTCGTACGCTGCTGGCAAGGTGGCACTGCATCCAGCATCGTGCAAGACTTTCTTCCTGTGGGTAATGCCAACGATAGCATTCTTTCTGTGGGCAATGCTGGTTTTGGACATAGAAAGGGGAGGGAATGAGAGGGTAGTGAGAGAAAACGAATACTGAAAATGAATTGAATCAAGCTACAGGTACATGAATTTAAATTCATGTGCTTGCCAGACTACACACATCGTGGGGGGTGGCGGGAGGTTTTTGGCATTATTTTAATCATGTGGAGCCACCCCCACGTGAGACAAATTTTAAATTTTTGTATAAATTCTGTGAAATTAATTCTGTACTCTTGGAATTCTTGAAATGAATTAGGGTTGGTGTGAATTATTAGTATTATAATATTATTTAAATATTCAATTGATACCTAATTTTTGAATATACAAACTTTGGACTTGATTTTTAAAAAGCTATCTGATTTTTTGTAATTTCCTAATTCGTGCCAAAAGCCCCCAAACCAAATAATTACAAAGCGAAACTCCCAAAACACCCAAAATCAACGATTTCGTAATTCTTGGTAGGTGGGGTGGAGGGTTGGAGATTGGAGAGGTGATTGATGGTGGCGCGTATTGTTTGGTCGGGAACTGGTGGAGGAGTCGGTGGCCTGGACTAGATGGTGAAGGAGAGGTGGCAGAGGGATAGAATATTGGTGGCCACCACGACTAGCAAGAAAAGCAAATTTGACACATTATGAAATCCATATTCGAGATTTTTGCTGACGATATGCACAATGATGATGGGGTGGAGATTGGAGAAGGAAGGTGGTGAAAAGGAGGTTACTTGCAAATTAGTTGCTGATTGATTTATATTGTAGCTATGAATTTGAACTTTATTTCATTTGAATACAGAAAAAGACAAATGAGTTGATTTTGATTTGTAAGGTTGGTTTCATATAAAGTGCTAATGCGAGTTCGGAATGTTAGTGTTTAAGGCCATTGAATCAATTCACTATCGATTTCTCTTCATAAAGAAATTGAAAAGTTCAACAAACTGTGCGACTTTGGTGGCATACGACTATCAATAATGTATGTTTGCATCAATAGTAACATGGTAGTGTGAATTAGTGCAATTATTTTAACGAGGGGTTGCTTTGATCTGGAAACTGAGATTTAAGTGGCTAATTTTGGATTCAAAGTAGATTCTTTTTATCTTCTTTTCTGGTCAAGGTGAAGTTGCTCATTTTCTTGGTGTGCCGTATCTTGTGTTTTGTGTTAGACATTGAAGAGCTGATTATGAGATTTCCTTGCAGCTCGATTGATTTATTGACTTGAAGACTTTTCTAGTGCTTGAAGAAGGTTGTAAATTAGAGAAGAAGAACAATTGTTTCAATTGAAACAAATTCTTTAGTTTCTGAAAATTTTGAGATTCAGTGATTATCTGTAAAATAATGTCAAATGTATAATGAGCAGGTTCATGGCTAATTGGATTTTGGAGCCTGCATTGTTTGTCACTTTTTGTAGTGTTTTGTTACTTTTTGAAATTTCTATAACTTTTTTTTTTTTGAATTTCTGTCACTTTTTTTAGTGTTTGTCATTTTTTTTTTCATGTCACTTTCTTGAAATTTCTGTCACTTTTTTAGTAACAAACGTCACGTTTTTATTTTTAATAAAAAAAATGACATTTAACTTTTAAAAAAGTGACTTTGCGTCACTTAATTTTACAATGTTTTTTACTTCTTCTTTTTTTTTTTTTAAGTGAGGAACATTTTAAAAAGTAACAATTAACTTAAAAAAGTGTCATCATGTTACTTTTTTTAAAAGACCATTAATTTGTCCGTAGAACATTATGACATAACCCAAGATGTAAAGAATCTAAACGCTCAAACTAAAGACAAATAAAGTGTTTGTTTGGGAGAAACTATTTGAAAGTGAATGTGTGGTTAAAAAGTATGGAAAAAATTATGAACCCGGGCAAAAATGTTGGGAAAAAATAATTTTAAAGTAAGATATGCCAAACAAATGAAAAATTTCTCACTCGTGGATACTGTATTTTTATTCTTTTCTTGTAAGTGAAATTCCAACCCTTAATCTCAGTATTAATTAACCAAGTGTTGGATAAAGGGATGCAAGTACACAATCATACTATTTTCTCATATATGACACTGAAATGGATTTTGTTTATTTGCATTAAGCTGATGAGCAAATTTAAATAATCTCCGTCTAATAATATGGACCCGTTTGATATGGCAGCGCTTTTGAAAAATCAAAGCTGAAATTAAGAAAGTTAGTTCAAGATGGTTTTCTCAAGAAACTCTTATACAAAAAGTTGAAATAGAAACCCGCACGACAAGTTTTTAGACGAGTTCAATAGTCCTAACTTCAAGTTGTATCGCTACTCATTTATAAAAATTGTACAATGTCAAGCCTTCCATAAAAATGATAAAAAAAAAAATATATATATATATATATATATATTCAATAATTTACCCCGTTTAAACAAAGATCTCTTTTAGGCCTGCTGCGAAGCATACTGATGAATAAAACTTGCACTACCACTCTTAGAGGGAGCATCTCATTTTGTGCAGCATGCAGGCAAGTTTCTATTGATAATTTCTTGCAGTCTAAAATTCGAATTAGGCGCCTCCTTTCGCTCTTATTGAGTTCTGGATGTCCCTGCATAATCGAAAAATCTTTCTTACAAGAGTAATAATAAACAGAATGGAACTACTATGGATATCCATACCTGCAAGCAATGAGGAATGAAACATAAAACAAATCTCATACATAGAAACACACTTTTGCAGTGGTTTATTTCAATGTAAGAACTATGTCCACTCGCCAGTGCAGCGTTTGTTTTGTATAGCTTATTTGAAAATTATTTTTCCTCGATCTTAATTTCAAAGTCACATATTCTTTCAATAAAATAATTTTGCACGTGAATCTATAATTTTTCCTACTTTTTAACCACGCATTATCAAAAAAATCATTTTTCACTTCAAATAAAGTCTCTCAAACAAACAATAAATTCAAGAAATTTATGATAAAGATCTCACAGCTTTATGTCTTTTGTCTCTCACACAGAAAAACAACCCGAGAAATTCATTTATAAAATATAGGAGCTATGTCAATCTATAGTAGAAGACATAAATGACCAACATATTTAGGCACCACATAGTTCGACAGAAACAAGTAAAGCAACCCTGCAGATGTGATTCATCCTCAATGTGAGAGCTATGTAAGCACCTTTGCAGGTTTCTAATATCACAAACAAAGAGTGCACATAACAGTAACGTAAGGATACAGCTTCTTATTATGCCAAATTGAGAGAGGGTTTTCAAATGACTCAGTAAAGCAGGAAATAAAAAGATCAAATATCATCCAATATGAGTTTGCTGAATTTACCTCTAGATAAATATCAATAGCCTTGTAAAGATCATCATGTTCAAATCTGGCAAGAACCGGAATTGCTTCTGCAATTGCAATGAACTTAGACAGAGACAGATTTTCGTCTCGAGCTATCTCTTGAAGATATCCATCCACAAGTTTAGCCACCTTGAGTTTGGAGCTATGTGATGCAGAAGTTGATTTCCTACTTTCTTGAAGCTGAAATTCGATAATTTCGGAGGAATTAGGCCATTTTTGTTCCAAGTCAAGCCCTTCGGTTCTAGGAGGACTTGTTGGGGGATTCTGTCCTTGTATCATGAACTGTTCCAATATGGTCGAAACAATATCAACATCATATTTCAGGCCATTTGTGTATGATAAAGAGGGTACTAACAAGTCACTAACTTTGGCTTCTTCCAATTGTCGTCCCACTTTTCGTGCCAATTCTATCTTTGAAGAGGAAGAGGCTTTTAGCATGTTGGCTGCCTTCAATAATTTCAATAGAAAACTGCATGAAACTGCGCCTTTTTCTTCTGGTAGAAGGCTCACAATTGATTCCAACAGTAGCTTATGTTTTGATTCTGATTTTCTTTCAATATATGAGTACCTCGATATGTTTTGTAGCCATTGAGAGGCATAAATTCGTAATGCATCACCGATTAGAGTTGAGGGAACATTTCCACCAGATTTAATGGCTATGATTGTTCTCCAATAAAGATCTATCCCCAATTCTGCTACATCTTCAGTCCACCAGCCTTTAGTGTTAGATTTATGTCTTTGGCTCTCTGATTCATTACATAATCCGTTGTCTGGGCCTTTTTTTGAATATTCACGTGATGAACTTGCCTTCGTGGGACGAGCCATAACTTGTGAAGCAATGGCTTCTATACATCTGCTAGTTATTCCAAGATCCTCAGACAAGACAGGGAAGGCTTTTGTGTTCTTTAAGGTTATAATTGAGTCCCTCCATCCATGAAGTATGCAAGAAGTAAAGAACAATTCAACCTTGGCAACTAGATTTCCCTTCTCAACAGCCTCCGTCATTTGAAGGTATTCTGCAGCACATCTGATCGAGACAACATTGTAGGCACTAAGAGTGATCGTAATACCATAACAGAATTTAGCACACAGTTCAAATGCCTCGTCCCCTCCAGGTAAATCAGGGAGTTGGACCATTTGTTTTTGCAAGGATTCGGGACTTTCCAAGCACAGCCTCTGGAGGCGCAAGCTCTTTGACACCAGGGGAAACTGTTTGGTAAACAATGGTGATCTGGACGTGTCTCAAAGAAAACGATTCCCTAAAAATACTATATATTGTATGAAATTTAAGGCAACCTAATACAAATATGAAATGTCCAAATATTAGGTCGATCCACCGTCAAGGAGAGAATCTAACAAACAACTCAAACTATCAATTCTTAAACACATCCAATGTTAAGATTTGAAGTTCCAATCTTAAAAAGTCAACCTTATTAAGAGGAGTAGTCCAAACTCTTATAAATTGATTTATGTTTTCATCTTTATTCGATGTGAGATTTTATTCTTTAACATGGCCCCGCAAGATGATGGCTCGTTTGAACAGATCAATCTTAAAATCCGTGTGTTCAATTTTTTTGAATCTTAATCAGATCGAATTGCTCGTTAGAGCTTAACAGGCTTTGATACCATGTTAAGATTTGAGGTTTCATCTTAAAAGATTAATCTTATTAAGAGAAATAGTCCAAACTCTTATAAATTGGTTTATGTTTTCATCTTTATTCGATGTAGGATTTTATCCCTTAACATCCAAGAATCGTCTTACAACTCTACATGAATTTCAATGTTTTTTTTATGAAACTGTACTTCTTACATTTCAAAACTGCACAATAACGAAATGCAAATTTACCTTGTGAAGTAAATATCTGGTTCCCTTAACTTGAACAATAAGATCACTGGAAACTTCAGATGACACAGACCTAAATAAAGACAAGAAAATCTTTGTTTCTCTTCTGTCACATAAACATTGAACTGCCACCATATTGATAAAAACTAACAAATTAACAAAAAAAATAAAAAGAAAATAACATAACATAAGAAATTACCTCACAGCCTCAGTAGTATAGAAAGTGTCCGGTCGAGATCCAAGTTTCATAAACTTCATTATTTCTCTATATATTTCCAAAGTGGTTACCCTGTACTACAAATTTTTCAACAATAGCAGTCTTTATGCAAAAAGTAATGGAAAAATAAATTATGGTGAGTAATTGATAGATCTAAAGAATAATACAGAAAATAGTACTGGCCTCAGGTTTGTGATTTATAATCGAGCTTCATCAAAATTGCCCCTATTTTTCTTCAGATTCACACTATCATTCATCAATGCATGAGGGGACATGCACAGCACATTCAGTTGAGCGACAGGACCTAAAAAATAAATACAGTTGATTGATATGTACTTACATATTTTTTTTCTTTACACTTAATTAAGAATTGCATGCTTTTTTTCTACAAGAATACTGCATCATGAGATCACAGTGAACAATAATTATTCAAATTATGATAGTTTTAGGTTGCGTAAATCTACCTGTTATATGAACAAATTTCTCGTTACGGGAAACTAATATGATTAATTTGTACTCAATAAGGTCGAATCAAAAGTGGGCAATGCATGTTAATGGCAATATGCCAAAAGACTGTCCAAGAATATACGTACCAACATCAAAATGTACTCGTACACGGGACTAAACAGCAAGCTTTGATTGGCTTAGTCAGCTGTCCGAGAGGTGAGGTACTGCTTCGGAACTCACTGATGTCTAAATTAGATGAATCGGAACTAAATTCTGTTGAATAAGTAGGTAAGGTTTCATACAAAACATGACCATCGTGTACTTGTCACATATACTCTGGTTGAGACGTTAAGTGATTTTACATTTGGTACGTCCCACAATTTCCCTTTTTTATTTTTATTTTTCTCAAAGAGGAGTTGTTATTTGGCAATAATTGTCATATCTACTTTTCATTTACTTTTCTTTGCCAAAGACTGGCGTGCAATCACGCGTGGATAGGAGCAGTATGAGTGTTAACCCAACCAATTTTGCCTTCAACTTTAGGCAAAACCATTTTTATATATCAACGTGATTATTACCAATCAAGTCAAAATTATTATGTTGGTCTTGATTAATGTTGTCGGACTGGTTTGACTTCAATAGTTTGCTAAACACCGTCGATCTATCTAATATTGTTTAGTCTTGTTGAAGGTAACTTCACAAACATACCATTATACTATAAGCTATACCTTGATTATCAAACATTAGCAGTCTACAGAGTGTCGAATTCAACAGACTTATACTAAAAACAGCTACAGATTTTGGATTGTGATAATAATAATGATGTTGTTTTTGATAAACAAAAAAAGAGGAGAGCAGGTTAGAAGCCACTGAAATTCTACTTACACGAGACAACATCGATAAATTTATGCCACTTTACTCCTAAAATCGTGCTGATATCCAGTCTCACTTCATCAAAATTCTACTTCAGATACTTCCCCTCTTCATCAACGACGCTGTAATGGAGCCCAGTCGATGGCCAATTCATCAAACTGTTGATCTGATTTCCTTGTTCTTTTTATATGTAAAAATTCTCATTTGAAGCAATAAAAAGGCTTCAAAACACAGCTGTAGGTCTTTCATTTGCATCTACTTGCTCAACAAGTACTTTCACTTTCTTCCAACTTTCCTGCATGGTCGATCCTTCACCTACGTTCAACAGCTACGATCCCTTCTGTTAGGATTTATGTTGTATTGGCAATTCCATAGACAAAAGGATTATTATAAAAGAAAATGATTATTATAATAGAATATGATTGTTATAAAAGAGTTGTAAAAGACAACAAGTCTTTTGGAGGGTTAAATAGATGAACTATGGATCTTTGGGTTCGAGTATGGAACAATGACTAAACTGCATCATCATCATTCCAACTGCAACATTTACGTTTTACAATCTGACTTCCTCATAGCTTAATTAACAACCAGAACTTAACTAAAGAAATAAATTTTATCCAAGGAAAACAAGTATTCATGTGCCAGTTTCTACTGCTTGACAAGGAGTTTATGGCCACATCCAGATAGGAATTCAGGTTTTTTCAATTCAATTAGGCCCACAGTTTAGAGATCCCTATGTAAATCAAGATCAAGAAATGGAAGTTTACCAATTGTTGACTCAACCATGTCTAGGAGAGCTTTTCTAATCTCAAAAATTGCTTTTTTTACCGTTTTGTGGCAGCATATGGGGCCCATTGTGAGAAGAAAAGTCAAAGAAATCAGCTGGCTCCTCTTGCAACGGTCCAAAAAGCAATTGAAATTGACTGCAAAATTGGAAACAGACAAGCTAACTCAAAAATTACCATTATTGTCATTGATATTAGCCATGAACCCCAACAAAATCCCAAAGGTCAAGTCTAGAAAAAACCCGGGCAAAAACAAAGACAAATTATTTAATTTACCTGCATATTTAGCGCTGCGTTAACCACATAATCCAAAGGGCGTATCTTGTTTTAAAATACAGCAGAATTCCTCTCTCAAAGCTTTTCTTTTCTTCTCTTTCCTAAGTGTCTTCATGATCTTCTCCCTGTACAAAGTGATTTTACATTAGAACCATGTTAATGATGGAAAGCCCATATGAATACCGATCAATTTGATTTAATGGTTAAAGAGAAGAATCATCATAAAATCGAGTATGTATCACTTAACAAAGATCACAGCTCTTTTTCTACCTACTGAAAAAGGGTGTTAGGTATCACAAATTAGGATTTCATAAGCAAGAAAAAGAGAGGCCTAGACAACTTGTATACAATATAAAGCAAATCAAAAATCCATCCACTATTGTCTAATAGCAAATCTGGAATCATAAAAAGTCTGTTTATTTACAGCCATTATTATGATTAACTTCAATCAAATCATCGTGCTGAAGCTTGCAATAAAGTAGTATGCCTAAATATTCTAACACGCCTCATCGCAATTCCAACCATTTATACATACACTTCCACACTGCCAAATTTATACAACTAACTTAAGAATGGCAACAATACGAAGGCATCAATCATTAGAATGATAAAGGAAAGAGTTACTAGAAATATTCTCTCAAACATAGTTAATAAGCAAGTTAGTTCTCTCTTTGGTCACTCAACTCCACAAGCAAAGTTTATTTTCGCTGAGTTGCTCATCACTTACACCAGAAGCCACTTGCATGGTTGAATTTGCATAGGTTATGCTTCAACTTTCACAAGTTTAAACATAGAACTTTTCACATAAAACAACTGATGATCTTACACTATTGCCATCTATGTGCATCCATCAATTTGAGGCACAGGACAGAAATTGAGTTCATGTGAGCAAAATTCCGCTTACATGTAAATCAGCTGGAAGGAAAAGGTCAACCTTGTCTTCAAAGCAAGTTTTCTCATGCGTACCCAAATTGTGTCATGTTAAACAATCTCTAATGGATTTCATTCCCGTGTATGTGATTGTGAGGATAATGTCACTTTGTCCAATCAGTTCAATGAATTTTAATTTCAATGAATATTGTGGTAGTGACCCTGCTGTCACATGGATTGAAAATGTTAAGGAATAAAATTTCATATCTAATAAAGATAAAAATATAGATAAACTTATAAAGGTTTAAGCTACTCCTCTATTGAGAATGTTGATATTTTAAAATGTAATCCAAAGTCTTAGGGCTTGTTTGACATGACTTTTATTTTTGTTATTGTTTCCTGTAAAAGATATTTTGAAGGAAGTTATTTTTATTTTTATTTGTAAACTAATTTTTAAAAAAACTTCATATCCCAGAAGTGCTTTCAGATGAAGTCACATTGAATCACTTTCCTTTAAAATATCTTCTAACTAGAAGTACTTTCATAAAATTCATCAAAAAGATCTATGTAGACATAATAATAATAATAATAATAATAATAATAATAATAATAATAATAATAATAAAACAAATAAATAATAGGTTGGGTCAATT